CGTTCTGCCCAGCTGGCACAGGACAGGCTCCTGGGTCTGCAGAACCAGCAGAAGTCTGACTCCCATCCCTGGGAGAGCCGTGGGAATATAGTGTGTGGAGTTTTGGGTTTGAGTGTTGAATCTGCTTCTCACCAGCTGTGTGGCCCTGGGCGAGTCACTTCCCCTCTCTGGGCCTCTGCTTCCCCAGCTAGAACACAGGCTGACTATTAGCCTAGTTCCTGCTAGGGATGGATGCTCTGTGCCCAGCCCCCTCTATGGCAGGGGTCTCACTGGGGTGGTCCTGCGCCTGGGGGTCACTGGGCCATGTCTTGGGTGGGACATCTGTAGTTTGTCACACTGGGGGTGCTCCTGGCATCAAGTGGGTGGGGGCCGGGGAGGCTGCTCAGCACACCGCAGTGGCCAGCACGGTTCCCCAGAGAATGACTGGCCCAGATGTCAGCAGTGCCAAGTGGGACAGACCTTCATACAACCCCCGTTCCATTCTGCCGGTGGGAACGCTGAGGCCAAAGGAAGGACGAGCGTCCGCTGAGTGTGTGAGCTCGAGCCTGTGCTGAGAGGACAGGTTTGAGTGGCCTGGCAGAGGCAGGAGATGCAGAGAAGGTGAATCTGTGATGTACCTGAATGGCACCTGGTGATGGGTTGGCCAGGAGTGTGAGCTAGGAGTTGCCTATGCGACAGGAGAGGGTGAGCAAGGACTGCTCAGCTGTCAACGGTAAGGTTGGGATGCTGCGGGGCCTCCTGGGGAAGGTCAGGGATGTGGCTGCATCCCAGGGCTGGAGCTCAGGGGACACCTGGTGGCCGGGACACAAAATCAGGAGTCATCAGTGAACAGTGGTGTTTAGTCCTGGGAGGACGTGAGCAGGTGCCTGGGGAGGAGTAGGGGTGTCTGGAGAGCCCTAAAGACTGAGCCCTGCAGAAGCAGGACTGGAATGCAGACCCCCACCCTAATCGGGAACTGGGTATCCTGGCCTTCTAACCCCACTGGTAGGCCCAGCCCCCAGGGAGAGGAAACAGGCCCAGAGAGGGTCCCTCACTTGCTTGGGGCACCCAGCCCTTTATCATCTGAGAGTGGCAGGAACTGAGGGGCACTCGAATATCTGGGCAACAGCCCCCTGCAGCCCTCCACCAAAGACCACCCTCCCACGTGCTCTCCCACTTTCAGGTCGAGCCAGTGTCAGGGAAAGTGAGGGAATAGGGGTCCTAGAGGCAGAATCTAGTCCCCACCATTTCCTCTCCAGTAACCATAGGGGGAGGTGTCAGAGGCTCTAGCCCAAGCAAGCCTCTTCCCTATGTATGCCTCTCACCAGCCTCCCCCTTCCCCCTCCCCGCCAGCCCTGTAGAGGAGATGACAGGGTCCTGCCTACAGGAGAGGTTAGAGCTGACAAACTAGGTCATAGCTTGAGTGGCCCCCACCAGTCGCTGTGGACCAGCTGTCCTCTCATCCTGGGAGTAATTATAGAGCTGGAGCTCCAACGCCCCAAGGGTTCTCATTCCCTTTGACAGGTCAGGTCCAGAGAGGGTGTTTTTCATCAGAGGTCACACAGCCCATCAGAATCGAGGTCTCCCGCTGGTCTTTCTGCGACTAGATCACAGTAGCTGTGCCCTAGCTGTCCTGACCTTTCTTCACTTCAGTACTTCCTTTCTGATTTTGTCCTTATCCAACTTCTATGGCAGCTATTTTTTTTCAAATTCTTTCCAATTAAAAACACAAAATTTTTGAAAAGTCTATTTTCATCTCTCTGACCGCTGTGACCCCCCCTCTCCTTGCCTGAACTTCATGGGCCCCCTCACTGTATTGTCCCCTGCTGTGCCCTCCCATGGACAGCCCTTCCTGCCACCATCTGCTCTGCTCCCTTGCTCCTTTAAGTCTTTGCAAGAACATCCCTTTCTCAGTAAATTAGATCATTGCAATCACTTGACACCCGCATTGCTTTCCCTGGACATAACTTTTCTCCACTTATGGCACCCGAGGCAGGAGAGGCTGTATTATTGTCTGTCAGCTCCCAGAAAGCTGACCTCTTTGTCTCCTGTGCTCTGTGTCTCCAGCACCTGGAACATGCTTGGCACACGGTACCTGTTTGTTGACTGACTGACAGACTGAATCAATGCATGAGGGAACCAGTGTTACAGTATCTCTAAAGGTGGTGATAAAAATTAGTCCAGCAAAAACAGAACCGTGTTTTAAATGCAGCTGGATGAGCAGTCAGGACCTTGTCTAGGCTGTGTTTAAAAAAAAAAAAAAAGGAGATTAGGGAGTGTTACAGGGACAAGACCACCACCCACTTTGCCCCACCACTGATGGGCTTTGTGAACCTGAGCCAGTGACTTGTTGCTTTGAGTTTCATTGTTACCACCTGCAAAGTGGGGGTGACAGTGGGCCCCCCGATGAGGTTGTTGTGGGAATGAAAGGGGACAATCTAGGTGGAGCCTTTGGCCCGTGTTGGCACAGAGCAGGGGCTGTAGAATTATGTGCTTGATGGTGATGGTGACAGTGATGGTGATGAGGAAGATGGTGATGATGGTAATGATGCTGGTGATAAGGGTGTTGTGGTGATGAGGATGATGATGGTGATGAGAAGGATGATGATGGTAATGATGATTATAGTAGTGATGATGGTGATACTACATTAAATAAGGGTTTAAATGGCATTTCTGAGAGACTAAGGTGGGGACTTTAGTTCAGAAAATAACCAGTGACATTGAGGGTGGACCCAAATAAAGTCAGGGAGAGAGCCATGCAGGGAAGGTATTCCAGGTATTAGCCATGGCACATGCAAAGGTTCTGAGGCAGGAAGGTGCCTGGCATATTGAAAGAGCAGCGAGGAGGCCCATGTGTCTGGAGCAGAGTGAGTAAGGGGGAGAGAGGGAGGAAATGAGCCAGGGAGAGCAGGTCATACAGGGCCTGTGGGCCACGGGCAGGGGGGGACTTTGAATTTTACTCTAGGAGCATGAAATTCTCTGCTGCAGAAAGAACAAACCAGGCTGCTCTGCCCCACAAGGAGTCTGTATTTGGGGGGCCGAACAATACTAGCCATTTCCTCCTTGAGACAGAGCCAGGGAGGCCCCAACTCCTCCAGAGCAGGCTTCTGAAGCCCTGTCCCCCGTTACTGGGTGAGGGGACAGTCTCCCTGACCACAGAAAGCAGTACAACAGGGAACTGGGGATAGGTTTCAGGTAGGAAGTTGCCAGAGGCATCAGATGGGCAGCTGAACAGGGAACCATGTTCTGGCTCTCTTGTCCCCACCTGGGCATCAGCCTCACCATGTGCTGTCTGAGGCAACAACATGGGAGAGAATGACCTAGAAAAACAGCTTCGGAAGGCAGGTTTGCTTGGGGGAAGGATTATGTTCCTTGCAATACCCAGGTCGAGATTAAGGATAATTGCCATGTGGGAGGGCACAACCAAGGGCTGTAGCTCTCTCTCTCTCTCTGATTCCCTACTACATTTTCCAGCTCGGGACAGAGACCTAAGACTGATGACCTCCTGGAGACCAGGAGTCCCTCGGTTTCCTCATGGTGTGATGAGCACATTCTCAGCTATGGCAGCTGCTTTCCCACGCCATCACTCCAGTCTCTGCCTCCATCTTCATGTGGCCTTTTCCTCATGTGAATCTATATGTAGGTCCAAATTCCCTCCTTGTTATCAGGACACCAGTCATTGCATTAAGGCCACCCTATCCCAATATAACCACATTATAACTAATCACATCTGCAAAGACCCTACTTCCAAACAAGGCCCCATTCATTGGAACCAGGATCAGGACTTGAACATGTCTTTTGGGGGGACACAGTTCTACCCACTACAGGGTCTCAGCTCATATATCACCTTCCCCGGTCTGAAGTCACCCCTCCATCTGTTCATACTGATCATCTATCCACACTGCTTCCCCACACAGCCCCTCGCAGTGCATCATCCTCTAGTCTTGTTATCTGTGTATTGAACTCGTTGACATTCATTAAGTAGGTGCTGTGTCTCAGGTACAGTTCTAGGTCCAACTAAGACAAAGGCCCTGGAGAGTTTACAAGTCAGTTGGAGGAGACAGACAATGAACAGGGTTTTAAGATGCGCTATAATTTCACGTGATGGTTGGACTCGTATGTACAGGTAACAGAGGGAGGACAAGATGGGTGGGGAACCTGTTAAGGACTCTGAGGGAGAGAGGGGAACATGTAGACCACCTGTATCCCCACCTGATGAATGTGAGCCCCTGGAGGGCAGGATCTGTGTCTGCCTTGTTCTCTGGTATATTCAGAGCCTGGTACACAGTAGGCACTCAATAAATGGGGGTTTTTTTGGTACCAAAATTTTTAACATTATATTTGTATGGTTATTCTCCAGCTCAATAAATGCTTTTCTTCTTTTTTTGGCAGTTTTTTAAGTTGACATAGAATTCACAAAATGTAAAATTCACCCTTTTAAAAGTGCACAATTCAGTGGTTTTAGTATACTTACAAGGTTGTGCAACCACCACCATTATGGAATTCCAAAACATTCTCATCACCCCAAATTAAGCCCCATCCTTATCAGCAGTCACCCCCACCCCGCTCTCCATCCCCCAACAACCATGAACCCACGTCCTGTCTGTGGATGTGCCTGTTCTGGACATTTCACATAAGTGGAATCACACACTGTGTGGCCTTGTGTGTCCAGCTTCTCTCACTGAGCACCGTGTGTTCAAGGTCCATCCAAGTTGTAGCGACTGTCAGCGCCTCCCTCCTTTTCATGGCCAAGTGACACTCCAGTGTGTGGATGGGTCACATTGCATTTGTCGTTCCTCTGTGGATGGACACTTGAGCTGTTCCCACTTTTTGGCTAATAGAAGAATGCTGCTGCTGTGAACATGAGTGTACAGGTTTTTGAGAGGTCATGTGTGCTCAGTTCTCTTGGATAGACACCCAGGAGTGGGATTGCGGGTCCCAGGGTGGATAAACTCTTCTTGAGTGCACTGCTAGGGCGGGACAAGAAGGCCCAACACTGCTAACGCTGCCCCCACCCCCAGGTGCCCACGAGGATGGTGGCGTGGCCCTAGGCCCAGGCACCAAACCATGACCTGCTGGCTGTGCGTCCTGAGCCTGCAGCTCCTGCTCCTGCCCGCTGCCCCGCCCCTAGCTGGGGGCTGCCCTGCACGGTGCGAGTGCACAACACAAACGCGCACGGTGGCCTGTCCCCAGCGCCGGCTGACCGCTGTGCCCGACGGCATCCCGGCCGAGACGCGCCTCCTGGAGCTCAGCCGCAACCGCATCCGCTGCCTGAACCCAGGCGACCTGGCCACCCTGCCCTTGCTGGAGGAGCTGGACCTCAGCGAGAACGTGATCGCGCACGTGGAGCCTGGTGCCTTCGCCAACCTGCCGTGCTTGCGCGTCCTGCGCCTCCGCGGCAACCTGCTCAAGCTCATCCCGCCTGGGGTCTTCACGCGCCTGGACAACCTCACGCTGCTGGACCTGAGCGAGAACAAGCTGGTCATCCTCCTGGACTACACCTTCCAGGACCTGCGCAGCCTCCGCCGGCTAGAGGTGGGCGACAACGACCTGGTGTTCATCTCGCGCCGGGCCTTCTCAGGGTTGCTGGCACTCGAGGAGCTGACCCTGGAGCGCTGTAACCTCACGGCGCTATCCGGCGAGTCGCTGGGACACCTGCGGGGACTGGGCTCCCTGAGGCTGCGGCACCTGGCCATCGCGGCCCTGGAGGACCAGAACTTCCGCAGGCTCCCTGGCCTGCTGCACCTGGAGATTGATAACTGGCCATTGCTGGAGGAGGTGGCCCCAGGAAGCCTGCAGGGCCTCAACCTGACCTCGCTGTCCGTCACCCACACCAACATTACTGCTGTGCCGGCTGCCGCGCTGCGCCACCAGGCCCACCTCACCTGCCTCAACCTTTCGCACAACCCCATTAGTACTGTGCCACGTGGGTCGTTCCGCGACCTGGTCCGCCTGCGTGAGCTGCACCTGGCTGGGGCCATGCTGGCTGTGGTTGAGCCACAGGCCTTCCTGGGGCTACGTCAGATTCGCCTGCTCAACCTCTCCAACAACCTGCTGTCCACGTTGGAGGAGAGCACCTTTCATTCGATCAACACGCTGGAGACGCTGCGCGTGGACGGGAACCCGCTGGCCTGCGACTGTCGCCTGTTGTGGATCGTGCAGCGCCGCAAGACCCTCAACTTTGACGGGCGGCTGCCCGCCTGCGCAACCCCCGCCGAGGTCCGCGGGGACGCGCTACGCAACCTGCCAGACTCTGCGCTCTTTGAGTACTTTGTGTGCCGCAAGCCCAAGATCCGCGAGCGGCGGCTGCAGCAGGTCACGGCCACCGCAGGCGAGGACGTGCGCTTCCAGTGTCGCGCGGAGGGCGAGCCGGCGCCCACCGTGGCCTGGGTGACGCCCCAGCACCGCGCGGTGACCGCCGCCAGCGCTGGCCGGGCGCGCTTGCTGCCGGGGGGCACGCTGGAGATCCGCGACGCACGGCCGCAGGACAGTGGGACCTACACGTGCGTGGCCAGCAACGCCGGCGGCAACGACACCTATTTCGCCACGCTGACCGTGCAGCCTGAGCCGGCCGCCAAACCGACCCCGGGTGAGGGCCACAACGAGACGCTGGCGGCCGCGCGCTTCCCGCTGGACCTCACCACCATCCTGGTGTCCACGGCCATGGGTTGCATCACCTTCTTGGGCGTCGTCCTCTTCTGCTTCCTGCTGCTCTTCGTATGGAGCCGGGGCCGTGGGCAGCACAAGAACAACTTCTCCGTGGAGTATTCCTTCCGCAAGGTGGATGGGCCGGCCGCTGCCTCAGGCCAGGGGGGCGCCCGCAAGTTCAACATGAAGATGATTTGAGTGCTCTGGGGGTGACCTCAAATTGCCCTCCCCTGCTGGGGTTGCGGGCTCCTAGAGGATCCCACGGAGAGCCGTTCTCTGTTCCCATCCTACCTTCGCCAGCCCGTTGATGGCACCTATGTATTTTCCAGAGGGGCGGCTCCTGGCAGAACTTCCCGTTTTTTGTAGAGACCCAACCACAGGACTGCTTTTTTCATCAGGATGTAACTTTTGCAGAGTTTCTCAAGCGTTTTCTAAAGCCCCCGCTCCCCTTCCTTGTCCTGAGTGATCGCTGAACTGCACGGGGGTGTGGTGGGGCTTGGAGACCCCAGGGTCTTCAGGGCTCACAATTCACTCCCAGGAGGTACACAGCTGCTGCCCACAGGCCCCTCTCCCTGACAGCTCACACCCTGGGGGAGATGGTCTACACCCAGGATGCACAGAGGGCAGCCCAGCCCCAAGGGGAGGGCACACAAAAGCCTATACTGTTCACACCTGGACATCCCACATCTGACACCTGGCACACACATATTCAAATCAGGATACAATTGGATGCATAGCTCTAAAGTGTAACACACACACCTGACACCTAGCTGACATTAAACAGGTGCCCTCAACTCTGGAGCTCACCATGGGCCCACAGGGCTCTAGTGAGAGCACAACTCACACCTGGGACAAACAGCTCAAATTCAGAACACTCCCAACTCACACGTGAGACACACCCAGCTCAGCTGGCCATCTGGGAGAGGGACAGATCTTTTGGGCTGAGCTAAGGTCAGCCTCACCTTAAGAGGGCCCAGCACACAGGGTGGTTCCTGACATGCTAGACTCACCCCCATCCCCAGACTCCCTCCCACCAGGATCCACTGGCCCAGCAGGACAGGTTGCCACCAGGAGAAGCCATTTCCCCAGGTTCCTCCATCACCCTCACAGCTGCCACTTGCTTCTTGAGCCCACATCGTACAGGCGGGGCAGCTGACCTGGCCCTTGGACCAGGACCATGGCTTCTGGGGTATCCCTCTCCAGCAGGCCAGTTGGAGTGACCTTCAATCCTGAGTCTACACTACCCCTGAGCTAGTCCCACATCCCATTGCTCACCTGGGGAATGAGAATAGAGAATGTGGACAGCTCTCAAGGTCCTTTTCATGTGCATTGCACAGCAGCAGTGGGAGAAAGGCCAGGACAGGGGTTCAGGCTACAGGGAGGCCTGGATCTGCATCATTCATTGGAAGGTGACAGAGGCACCTTGGTCTCTGCAACTTTGGAGCAGATCCAGGACAAAAGAGTAGGGGGGTTATAGGCAGACTGTGGCTCAGGTTAAAGAAGTTTCCCCAAGGTCACTGCCCCATTGCTTTTCAGATAGTGAGTTCCCTGTCACTGTGGGTAAGACAGTAGAAACTGAGGTTTTGCAGAAGTTTTCAGACACCAGACAGGAACCATCCGTGACCCTGCCTTGCCAGCCTGGTTCTTGCCCCCACTCAGCCAGTCAACGGTTAGGGCATCATAGTGGGGAAAAGGGCACAGGAAACATTGTGGGGCCTGACCTCAGCCAGAAAAGAGCTTGGTCACCAACCAGGAGGTTAGGACAGTATTCTCAAGGACCTTGTCAGAAGACTGGAAACCAGCTCTGTTCTCTCCCAGCTGTTTTCTCAGTTGGTGACTGAGGACCACTATGGACCATTGGTGTCCTCATCTGTAAAATGGGTCTGAGGGTCAAACCCATCACTACATATGCAGAGGCCAGGTCATGGATGAGCTTGATGGTGGACTTGGATCCTGGAATCCTCAAGATCTTTCTGAGATGAGCCAGAGAGAAAGATGAGTAAAACCTGGAGGTTTTCAGCAAAGGATTCAGACAGAACTAGAAAGGGGACACCAGCAGTTCTTCCTGGGCTGTGGCTGAAAACATTAGAGGCCCTAGTCCTGCCCCCATGATGTGCACATGGGCCAGCAGGTCAGACGGTGGGCAACTGACCATGGCCAGCCAGGGTGGGGACCCCGTCTCAACCCCACTGGAGGAGGGAAGTGAATGAGGGCCAAAGGGGTGTCCATCAGCCCCAAACTCCACCTGAGTTGAGCAGAACCAACTAGTTTTTCCCCCTTAGCATCCTCCTGACCTTGGTTGCCATGACAACCCTGAGGGCCTTTCAAAACGACATCCAAGTGCCTTTAGCATCATCAAGACTGGAGGGGGTATGTTCTCGGCCGCATTGCGATGTACAGAATGTCATGTAGTGGGATCTCCCAGTCCCCTCTGGCCATTCCTTTGTCCCAACATGAACCAAGACCTCTCAATCCCCCACCCCACCCTGCTGTATGGTTGGAATCTAATAAAAATGAAACCAGTTTAATAACAAACTTCAGGTTTTTCTTGATTCTCATGGGAGGAGTAGGGGCAGAAAGTAGGGATGAGGGATAAGGGACTGCTGGGTTCCCAGGAGGGAGCTTCCTGGCTCCAACCCCAACACTGACCCCTGAGTTTATGGGTGTTTATTACCTGAGTTACAGGGTGTTTATGGACAAAGAGTGAATGAATCGGGTGAAAAGTTAGAGGGGCACTTCAGGAGTGCTCATGCTGTTCCCAATGCTGTTTTCCTATATTATTAACTCCTTACATATGCCGATGACAACCCTGTGAGCTGGGTCCTGCTATGAGCCCATTTTACATATGGGCAAAGGGAGGGTTGGAGGCTAGAGGGCATTTGCTGAGAGTCTCCCATCTAGGTACAGGTGGGTGCTGAAAGGGGTAGGTGGAACTGGGCTGGCAGGGAACCCCCTGTCCCAATCTTGGACTGGGGGCAGAGCCAATGGTGGGGAAGAAAGGAGAAGTGAGGCACAGGTCCACCCTCTCCCCACTGTGCCCGTGGCTTCCTCCCCTGGGGTTTGTGGGTGATATCCTCTTCTAAGGGGAGCTCATCAGCGTCCTTTCCTCTGGGGGATCTGGGGAAAGGCAGTTAGCCCTGAGTGCTGGACATAGTACTGATAAGTGCTTCATCCTCACTTTAACCTCCACCTGATGGATGGGAAAACTGAGGCAGAGGGTCCAGTGTCAGGGCTCAAATCTTGCTGGTACCTGAAGGTTTGTGCTCTTTCTGGAAAGTGGTGGGTCAACTCAGATCAGTCAGAAGAAGCCATGGTCAAGGGCAGCCTCTCACTTGCCACCCCAGAGTGGCTCTCTGGGCCTCAGTTTCCCCATTTGAGCATGGGAAGAAGGTTCCTTTTCTGCCCTGCAGGAGACAGAAGCAGGATAGGGACATGTCAGGTGTTGTGGGGTGGACCCCTCTGTGCCTGACTTCCAAGGCTGTGGGACCTTCCCTAAGGGCCTCGTTTCCCCTATTCCTCCTACAGCAAAGGCAGGCAAAACGATTGCCTCATGCGCCTCAGTTTCCCCATCTGCAGGGGCTGCCAAGTCCCTGGTTCAAACCACTTTCCTGAATCCTGTCTTATTCTTGGGGTACGGGGTAAGGGAAGGGGAGTCCCCAGTGGTGGGGGGAGGGAAGTGAGTGATTCAATTTTTTTGTTTTTTTTAAAGATTTTATTGGGAAATTGGGGAAGAGGAACAATGTTGGGGACTTGGGGAAGGGGAACGGACAAGTTGCTGTCCTTTTTTGTTCTTCAGTCTAGTTGTAGAGGACGTCGTTTCACTGGCCAGTGTTGGTACTATCATTGCGTTCTTCCCAGCTGAGGCAGTCACTCACCACCCATTGGACAGCCGCTCACGGTGGCTCACGGCAGCTCACAAAAGCTCATGCCCTCTGCCGGCCAGCCCCACTGCAGTCTATGCCGTTGCCGGTGACTCACGGCAGCCCAACTCCAGGTCGAGCTGTTGTTCACCATCTTAGCTATAGAGGGCAGCGTCACTGGCCCTCATGTGGGATCCGAACTGGGGCCCTGCTGCTTAGGGCTGATATCCCAAACTAACTGTTAACCAACGTGCCACCTGGCTGGCCTGAGATGATTCATTTTTTTAAAGAAAAATCTAGCTAGTGTGGCTGTTAAGAGAGTGGGAGACACTTTTTTTCTTCATTGAATACAGAGAGGGGTAGGGACTTGCCACAGCAAGTCAGAACAGAGCTGGGCTCAAATGGAGTGGCACCTGCCCAGAGTGCAGGAAACATTTGATTCCAGTCCAAGGGTCTTGGTGGGCGGGACACTGGGAGCTTCTCAGATAGTCCTACAGAAGGGGAAGTGGTTCTCCAGGAAATGAAAGCCACAGAGGAAAGAACCCTGGTTGCATTTTTCCCTAAACAGTCATTGCTGGTGCTCCCTATGCTCCCCAAAGATGGGGGACCTCAAACATCTGCCCCTTCAATCTCCTCAAGCTCCCACTGCCACTCACCTCCAGTGACCATCAGGACCTCAGCCCATCTTCCCCACATGCTTCCTCTCTGCGCTTAGCCCTGGAACTGTTCACTTCCAGGTCACACCTCCTTGTCTTTGCTCAGGCTGTTCCTTCTGCCTGGAAAGCTGTCCCCACCTTTGAGTAACCTGTGGCCAGTCCCTGGGGAAGTGATATAGAAAGGCCCACCCCAGCCCCAGCCTGCGGTCTAACTGTTGCAGAGCATTTCCGATTCACTGCTGGTGACATGTCATACAGTCCTGGGAAGCCAGGGGTTGCAGCTATTGGGAGCTTGTTTCCAAGGTCCCCTGCCTGTGGTCACTCCTGTACTAAAGGTAGGAGGCTCCTGGAGGGGTGCTGGGGCAGGGAGAGGGCAGAAGCGGCAACTTTTCCAAGTTGGGGTGACCTGGAATCTGGGTGGGGCAGGTCTAAGGCCAAGCTGCTATCGGTTGGACAGGGCTGAGCTCTGAGGACAAGGCCCAAGCTCCGGTCCCTGAGTATTGTCACTGGCCTTCAGCTGTCCCCCAGACAGCCCATGGTCACGGCTAGACATTCTATCCATGTCACAAAAGTATAGAGTCCTTCCCACCACCCTGAAAGGTTGATAGGCGACATTCCTGTCTTGCCGATGAGGAAAGAGGCCCACAGAGGGCAAGAAACCCTCCCAGAGCCACACAGCAGGGTCAAGGCTGGGCAAGAAGACCAAAGTATGGGAGACTGCCCTGCTCTGGCCTAGGGCTGTGAACACCCACCCACCACCATCACGAACACCCCGCATGTGCCCACCCACGTATACCCCCCACTCAGCAGCATGAGCAGCCCTGAGCCTCCCACCGAGACCCCCGGATCCAGTGCTCCCACTTGGCCAACTCAGCCCACGTACTGCAACCTTGGTGAGCCATGGAGGGGGACCTGGGCTGGAAGGAGGGTGGGTGCCCCGAGCAAAGGAGTGGAGCCTCTCTTTACCATTTAAGGAACTCTCTGCCTAATGACCATTTAACTCAAATATATTAGCTTTTCCCCCAACTTTGTTTTAAAAAGGGAAACAAAAAAGTCTGGGCTCACCATCTTGTAAAAATGAGGAAACTGGAGTTCAGAAAGGTGCGGTCAGCTGCCCAGAGCCATGCAATGCAGTGGGGTTACCTGGTGCTAGACCGGATGCTTCTCTGCCACTGTCTGTCACTCCTCTGAGCCTATTTCCTCATCTATACACGGGGATGGTGTCTTTGCTTCCCAATGCACAGGGCACTTGGGTGTTAGTTTGATTTCCATTTCAGAGATGAGGGCATGGGGCTGAGGGGTGGAGTTGTGTGTCCAGGGCCCCATATTCTGCACGTCCTCACCCCCCTCACCTCCCAACCTCCCCTCACAGGTGAGGTCCGTGCCCACCTGCTGTCCTCCAAAGCCTGCGGAACCCCAACATCCGGGTCCTCCTCCACGGACCCGCAGCCTCTGCCCCCACCCCTCCCCAAGAAGATCTTGGCCAGGGCTCGGTCCCTGCCCACACACAGGGTCTTCAGCCCCAGCCCCACTCCAGCAGGGAAGCCTCCAAGGCTCCTTCTAGGGTCCCGCAGTGTGGACAAGAGCCAGGCAAGTGACGACGAGGCCAGGCCAGCCTGTCCCCCTGCAGAGCTGCCCTTCTGCTCACTGGACACGGAGCTAGGCCTGTCGCTCCACGACCTGCACTGCCCAGAGGCTGTGCACGCTGCGCTGGAGGCCCGGCAGCTGGAGGGCCTCCAGGCTGTGCAAGCTCGACTCCGGGCCCGGTTCCTGGGGGGCCGCCCGGGACCCTGCTGCTCCCATCACAGCTTCCGTCTCCTGGACAGTTTGCCCTGTGTGGAGAGCGGGGATGCCCTCTACTACCGCATGGTGCAGGTGGACAAGGAGGTGTGGCATGTCCTGGATGCCAAGGTGAGCCCAACCACCGGCCCTCCTCGGAGGGCTCCCCAACTTCCTGTCTTAGGCTTAACCCACACCTGCAGTTTGGGCTCAAATGCTTATTTTGGAACTAACAGAAATTAACACAGGCAGCCATTGGAACCATGGTTCTCAATCACCTGGGAGTCTCGTTAAAATCCCCTCCCCACAAGTCTCAGGGGCCCAGGAATCTGCATTTTTAACTCGCTCCCCAGGGAATTCTGGTTAACAAGCCACTGAGTTCACCAGCCACAGCAGGCTGACAGCTACCACTTTAAGTAATAACAATACTGCAAGTATTACCGTGTTTTGTCCTAAGATGCTTTTGTTTTATGTACCACTAAGAAAAAAATAATTCCTGTTGAATAAGCCATACCATCAAGCATCAGACCACCCATCACCATTTTGGGGGAACGTCATCAATTTGACGGACTGTGTTATCATGGACCCATTTTGCAGACTGGAGCATGGAGGGGGCTGTTGCTGGCTGTGAGGTTTTTTTCCATGTTAGATGGGCAATGTGCCGATGTTGAAACATTGGTTTGATGTTGAAACATTGAGGGAAACACATCTCACACAACAGCGTGAACACGCAATCGCCACACTTATGAACTACAAAAGGCTTTGGCTGTGAGTTCTTTAGTGGGCAGCTGGATCCTGGCTCCATCTCAGATGCCCCTGGGGACTTTATTTTTTTAAATACCCACATCCCAGAACGCCCCCCACCACCACACCTGTAATTTTTAAACACTCCTGCCAGATGATTCTAATGTAATCCACAGACCTGATGCCCTCCTGACCTTCTAGAAAGAGCTTTGCTGTTCAGTACTGCAGCTGCTGGCCATGCGTGACTTCAAGCACGTGAATGCAGTTGGTCCCAGGCTGAGATATGCTCTCAGTGTCATATACATACCTGGTCTGGAAGAATTAGTATCAAACTATAAAAATAATGTAAAATATCTCAATATTTTTTATATTGGTGACCTGATCAATGATAACACTTTGGATATATGGGGTTAAATAAAATACATTATGAAAATTACTTTCACCTGTTTCTTTTTTTTTTTTAATGTGGCTACTGGAAAAATTTAAATGGCCAGCGTTGTATTTCTACTGGACAGCCCAGCTCTGCCACCTTAGTTGTCACCTCCCACTTTACTAAGTGGGAAGAACCCACCTCTTTGGCAGGCAGGTGTTTAATGCCACCCTCCCTGATACAGTTTTCCTTAAAATCATCTTGGCAACTAACAACTGAATTTACATTTAATCCCTGCTTCTGGAGGTGAGCAGGATGCCCCTCCAAAGTCAGAGTGAGAATAGGTTGGGGGTGGGCGTGGAGGCTTCAGGGCAGATAGAGCCGCTGGAGCAGGTTGCTTTGCTGGGGGGGAGGGGTGGGGCTTCAGGGTCAGGTACTGATGGTCTCCTCTGTCCTGCAGGTGCCCAAGCCCGGGAGCCAAGGAGCCCCACCCGTGGGGCCTGGAGCTGCAGGCCTCGCTGCCCCTGCGCTTCAACCTCCAGGGGCTGTGTGGCCTGGTGCCCGAAGGTGCACTGCCCGAGGCGCCCTGGAACGGCCCCGTGGCGCTGGTGGCGGAGGTACCGGAGAGCACGGTGGCCCAGTGGCTGGTGGAAGCAGGCGCGCAGAGGCCCGCAGACTTTGCCTGGGCCGTGGCCCTGCTTTTGCTGCAGCTGAGTGGAGCCCTGGAGCACCTGGAGGCCCGGGGCGCGGCCCTGACCGAGCTGCGTCCAGAGAACCTGCTGCTGGTGGCGCCGCGGGGCTGCGCGGCCTCAGGGCCCCCGCGCCTGCTGCTAGCAGACTTCGGCCGCGTTCACCAACGGCCCTCGGAACCTCTGGGCGCCCACGCGCTGCAGCTGGGCCGCCTGCTCCGCACGCTGCTCAGCCCGGTGCCCTTGGCCACTCCCTTGACCGCGGGCCTGGAGCGCCTGGCAGCCCAGCTGGCCCGCGCACGACCCTCCGCAACCATGACGCGCGGGGCACTGCAGGCGCTGCTTTGGGGGCCGGGATACGAGCTACGTGGCCGCGGAACACCGCTGGGGCTCTGGCTGCGGGTGCGCCGCACGTTGCTGGTCCTGAACCTTGCGCAGCGGGCCGCTGGTGGTGAGGTGCCCGGTTTGGAGGACTGGCTATGCTGTGAATACCTAGTCGAGGCCACCGAGGCCTCGATGGGCCACGCCCTGGAGCTGCTGTGGGACTGATACCTCCCAGAGCGATGCGCCAGTTCCAGGACTTCTCCAGGAGGCAGGCATCCCTTCCCAGAACTGGGGCTGGGGGCAGTTTCTCCACAATAGGGTGGAGCCAGAAAGCCAGCAGAGAGTGCAAGGTGGGGACACCTTCCCTCCCCTCCCCCCACCCCGCAATGCTTGCCCCTTCTATGCTGGGGACTTAGTCCTAAGGCCTCCCCAAGAAAGAAGGGAGATAATGGCTAGTGCCAGCTGAGGTGTTTGGGTTTTTTGGGTTGTTTTTTTTAAGCTGAGTCATCTTGCCACCTGTTGGCAGCTCAGCGGCTGCTCAGCTCTGGCTGGGAATCGACAGCTGAGGTTTTTGATGCCAGGGCCATTCACCTCTTCCAGGTGTGGATGCTCCCTGCCAGTGTCTCTCTGAGTGTGTGGAATCCCTCTCCCCACCTTCCAGAAGCCAGGTGGACACCCCTTCCAGTGCCAACATGGGAGGCATTCCTGGCCCTGGAGCACCCCCTGGTGCTGACTCCTCTAGTGTGAATGTCCTTGTCAAGAGCTGCTTGAGGTCTCCAGGGGGAAAGGAGGCCCACCCAGCACAGCCCACCCTATCGGAGTCTGTCTGAACTCACCTCCCAAATGTTTCCATATCCTGTTGTTGTGGGCCAAGAGAGTAGCCCCCCTCCCCCCCAAAAAAAACCAAAAAACTTTTTTTTTTTTAAGATTTTTATTGGGGAATTGGGGGGATGGGAACAGCGCTGGGGGATTGGGGAAGGGGAACAGACAAGTTGCTGTCGTTTTGTTCTTCAATCTAGTTGTGGAAGACGTTGCTTCACTTGCCCAAGTTGGCACCATCATTGCGCTCTTCCCGGGTGAGGCAGATCAGTCACTGGCCTCTGGACAGCCGCTCACTGCTGGCCGCTCATGCTGGCTGCTGGCTACACACGGTAGCCCATGGCAACCCACTGCCACAGGAACTGCAGCCTACACCGCGACTCACGGCAGCCCAGCTCCAGGTTGAGCTGTTGTTCAGCATCTTAGCTGTAGAGGGCAGTGTTCACTGGCCCTCATATGTGGGATCCGAACCGGGGCCCTCTGGCGTCCCAAGCGAGTTCTTAACCATCGCGCCACTCGGCCGGCCCCCAAAAAACTTTTAAATCTTCTTTCCTATAGAAATGTTAAGTATAGAAATTTTAAGTTTCCTTCTCCCTAGTTTCTTAATTCCTTAGCCCCTGGTTTTGATTACTCCTTCTAATTAGTTTCTGAATCCTAGACCAAAGATTGCTCCTGGACTGAATCATAGAATTTTCCTATTCCCTTGCTTCTTGATTGTTTTGTAAATCAGTTTCTTAATCCTGAACATTAGATTTTTTTTTAATCGGAACCATAGAAATCTACCCCTGCTTCAGATAACTACTTAAAAGACTGTGACTTCCCAAGCCGTTCCGGACCTAACTCTTGGGTAATTCCGTCTCAGAGAACATTTCCCCAGGCCAGTAAGCCTAATGATTCTTTCCAAACCCACTCTGGGCCCAGCTCCTGGACAATGGAAACCACCTGAGTGACCAGTTGAATGGCCAGATTCATAAAAGTTAATGGTATTATTTTAAATCTATTTTTTTCCTCATTCAGGGGACTTGGGGATACAGATGATACCCCAATAAGATCACAACCAAAGAAGCCAACACAGTCTTCCAGGCGGATCTCAAGACCCCTTCCTCTCACCTGACATCAGCTAGGGTGAGGGTTCCGTGAATCCCCCAATAGGCAGGGACAGCTCTATGCCCTTGCCCAGCAGGAAACAGAGACAGATACTGTCCCTCAACTTCCAATAGAGATTTTATGGGGATCATGTCTCTCAAGGAGGGAAAACAAGGCAGGCAGTTAAGGGCAGGCATTAGGTCTCTGCATTCCTGCATGTCCCCACAGAATGCGACCACTCAGGAGACCTCCCTTCTCCACCCCAAACTTCCCCTGTTTCATTGAAATGATCTACTCCTGCGCGGAAACAAATGGGTACAAAATACCCAACTAGATCAGACCAGTCACTCGCACCGGCGCAGTCTAAAAAGATGAGGTAATAATAACCTGTCAATCACAGGTGTAGAGGGACAGCCCATTCTAGAGAAAATGGGATAAAAACTCCAAGTCCTGGGCAGTCAGCCCTTTCTTTTTTTAAAAAAAAAAAAGCATTTTGAGCCTCCCCTTCGTTTTGCACGGCCCGCTCCAAACTGGAGTGTACTTTCTCTTCTAATAATGGGCCCTTGAGCTATTCTCTATTTCTCAGGCCTGCTTCTACTTCTTTGAAATATACTATCTCTTCTAATAAACTGCTCTTTTACTATTTTACCTCCGTATCTCGTTCAACTCTTTGCTCGAGACGCCAAGAACCTGGATACCGCGCCCAGAGTAGCCCACACTCCCGTAACACCGCCACCTCCTCCCACTCTTTCTACCCACCGTGGCCTCCTCGCTGTCCCTGTTAAACTAAATTCTGTCCAGCTGCCTAGCCTTTGCAGGCGCTGTTCCCCCCTGCCAGACTGTTCCAACCCCACCTCCTGTAAGTAAATAAAGTTGCTCCTCCTGGGCCCTCTCTGGTTCCTCTCCCTGCTTCCTCCTCCCTCTCCCCCCAGAGCATTTATCACCACCTGGAAGTATTTACTCATCTCTTACCTGTCACTGTGAGTTCCATGAGAACAGGGGCCAGGTTTAACACACAATAGCTGCTTAATTAATAGCACAGGATGATGGACTAAACTAACTGCGTGCAAGACTCATCAAGGGTCCTGAAGGAGAGAACAGGTTTCAGTTTATGACTAAAAAGTGAACACAAGAGTTCTGAGAGGTCCCACTGTGCTGGCCTGGGGCCTCCAGTAATGCCTCCTCACTCCCCCTCCACCCATGGTGATTCTAGGGGGATCTTTCTAACTCCCAGATATGACCAGGTCCCTCTCCTGCTCAGATATCTCCCATGACTCCCTAATGCCCTCAGAATACAGTGGGGTCCTCCAAAGACTGCAAGCTCTCTGGCCAACCCCTCCTGCTTACATTGCCCATCTTTGAAGGTACTTTCTGGCCTCTAGGCCTTGCCCACGCTGTTTCTTCCATCAGAAACACCCTCCCCTCTACTCCTCTGCTTAAGACTCTTATTTATCCTTCAATGTCCCAAACCCAATGCCCTTTCTCTGCCCTTGCCCTGCCCACATAGACTGGGAGTATCTGTGTCCAGTTCTGTCCCCAGACCTTTGAACACTGGATCCATCATCACTCAGGTAGCTGCTAAGTATCCCACCCCCATATACTCAAGTTCCCCCAGCACCTTTCCTTCTCCGTAAAAGATGCTCCCTTTGCGAAGGTGTAGTATATTACAATGGAATCTACTCAGCCATAAGAGGAAATACTGCCATTTGCAAAATGGATGATCTTGAGAATGTTATGCTAAGCGAAATAAGTCAGATAGAAAAAGTCGAGAACCATTTCACTCATGTGTGGGATATAAAACTGAAAGCAACAAATGAACAAGACAAAAACTCATAGTTTAGTGGTAACCAGAGGGAAAAGAGAGGGTAAGTAGAAAAGGTAAAGAAAGTCAAATACAGAGGTTGCCGAAAAATGTATATACATTTTAAGGAAAAAACTATTAAAATTGCAATACTCAATGTATACTAACAAATGATGAATACAAGTCACGTTTGACTTCTGCAATTACAAGAGGTGCTCAAAGTGGTTACCATCAACATCCAGACATTTTTTTTTTAAACTTATAAGAGTTTGAGCCAAACTGTCGACAATTGCCAGGAAGCAAAATCTGAACGTTTTGAGAAAATACTCCCCACACTTCTGATTACGTTGCTTGAGCAATGCTGACCAGTGTCCACTTGTATACATTTTTTTGGCACCCCCGGTATATGGTGACAGATTTGACTTTGGGGGAACACCAATGCAATATACAGATGGTGTATTATAGAATTGTATTACATACTTTTATTAACTGATGTCACCCCAAATAAATGTAATAATAAAAAAAAAGCTCCCTTTGCAGCTTATTTCCCAGCCAAGGCCTGGATGTGAAATCTTGTGGGAGGTGCTCCCAGATACTGCCAGCAGGTGGCACTGCAGTAGGCCCATCCTGCACCTTCAGCAACCCTACCTCCAACCCCAACCCTAACTTCAGGACTCATTTCTGCCAGGACTTCAGCCCCAGCACAGCACTGCAAGACCCTCCCCTGGAAGGGTAGGCCGGACAGGGGTGCAGTCACACCTGGGAAAGTCCCAGCGGTGCCCCAAACAGCCTTGGGCACAGGTGAGGCCATTAAGGGTGGGCAGGAAGCTGGCCAGCCTCCAGGACTGGCGGCCGCAGGGAAGGACACTGGAGCAGGGGAGTCCCAGGCCCACCATGCAGGGTGGAGCAGGCTGCCATCCAGAGCTGCCCTGGAGGTTGGGAAGGTTAAGATGCAGAGGCAGCCAGGGTGGGGCTCCACGACCCTGAGACAGCCTCACAGACATTGGGGCAGAACCAGCCAGCACATCCCACAGCAACCTGGCTGTGGCCAGAGACCAGGCCCTTGGCTTCCCATCCCAAGCTGGTTTCTCTCAAAAGCACCCCCTTCCGCTGGCGCGTTGACACAGGCAGCCAAAGCAGGTCTTGGAAGTGTAATCATTTTTATTCAGATTTTTGAGCAATGGGATATAGATTAATACCTGACTTTCCAAGTTAAGACCTAAAACTGTTTCCAAAACTTCAAATAAGAAACTCCTGCTCCAAATACAAGGATAATCTGAATCATCTTAAACCAGCAATAAAAAAGTAAAATATAAATTTTTATTTAGAATTAAAGCAAATACTTCAGTATCACAAACACAATATTAAACTTCAAGAAATATATCGCTAATTTGGAGTGAGCGTTTATTTGCACAATTACAACATGCGGACAAACCCAGAAGAGGGTAGCAGGCCTGGCATTTGCAGCCCCAGACAATAGGTCACACCACCCAACAAGGCGTGACACGCGAAGGGGCTGCGGTCTGTGATGGTCTGTGGGTGGCGAAGGTGAGGGGTGCAGGTGGCTTGGCCACTACTCCTTCTCGTCAGAAGACTCTCTCTCAAACGTGTAGGCCATGAAGCAAGCATCAGGTCTCTTGGGGACAAGAGGATGCCCCGGTCTCACAATCTCAAAGCCCATAAAGCTGAAGGTACGGAGCAGAGCGGCTGTGGAGCAAACTGTGTCAGAGCCAGTGCGGCCTTCAGCACCCTGGGCTGTGCCCCCCCCCCCAAGCAGGCCCCTACCAGAAGGCCCCAGGGGGCAATAATAGGGAGGGAGCAGAGTAGACTGGGGACACCCAACACGGTGTGGCAGGGCCTGTGGACAGCAGGACTGAGTATCAAGATTTGAGAATGGGACCTTGGGCTGTACCCTGCCTCTGCCACCCAGGGGGAGTAGGTGCCTTCTCCCCCCATGCCAGCAGGACTGGCTGGCAACGAGCAGTTACCTACCTCTGTCATCACGGTTCTTATGGAAACAAATGAAGACGTGGTCAGCGTGCAGCTGCTCCTCAACAAACTCAAGAAGAACTGCAAAGCTGAAGCACCACCATCAGGGTCTGCCTGCCTGCACCACCCCTACCCCGCGCCACTGGAGGGGGCCCAGCCCCACACCTCCCACTTCTAGGGTGCCACATTCA